ATAAGGCCTTTAATGGCTACACATACCCACGGTGCTCAAAATATGAAAATGGGTTATTTTTTGACACTAAGTCTTTAACCACAATGAAAAATAGCAAAGCAATAACGTTATTTCTTTTAAGTATTATCAATGCAGAGAAAATAATAAACGGGAAGTGGCAAAAATGCCACAGGATGCATTTGAATCAGCCACACCCCTCAACTTGAGCAATCCCTTTGTTACTCGATTTGAACAAATTGATTGCTCGATTTGAGAGCATTACTCATTCAAATGCCATTTAGATTATCATCATCATCGTCTTAGCATTATCCAACTATTTATAGTCGGCTACACTATCACAGGCCATACGTCAATCATGATTCAAACACCTTTTAGATAAATCTTAATTTATTATTGTTTGGCTTTTGCAGATTTGCAAATGGATACCGAAATAATTTCTTAGTCCAACATTCTTTTGAACACTCAAATCTTTTTTGTTCGGAGGTTCTCCTTTTACTCCTTCCATCGATGAAAATGGGGTGTTAGTAAATGTCATATCATGTTGAAATTATTCGCTTCAAGTATTATCAATAAAAAGAAGAAAAAGTTTTATATAAGGTATAAACCTTACACTATTGAAATGAGGCAGCCTCAAAACCAATCAGAAAATGTTGTTTTGATGCTAAAAACCTTCAAATATTGTCTCAATGTCAGGATGCACGGATATAAAAATAAAAAATAAAAATTTTCAAGTCATGAAAATTGCCCATCTTGTAACACATTATCTAAATAATCAATTCTAAAAAAAATTAATTGTTTAAAGATCTGTTCGATGTGCATCATCGTTGGAACTTTTGTGCACATACACATGAAAATTCGTGAGTATTTTCATGTGAAAAGCTCCCTCATGTGACTAGGTGTGGCTATTTTTTAATACCAATTAATTATAACTTATTTTTTCATACCAATAGGTAGCCAATCGATGTGCAAAAACTCCCATACCTGATTACATGATGGAGTCCTTTCACATAAAATTACATTCACGAAAGTATTTTCATGTGTGCCAAACATGCCCTTAAATTTCATAAATTGGGTTGCGCTTTTCTTGCTCACAAACACCCCCTTGATAAAATGCACAACAAAATAATCATTGTAAATCTCAAAAAAAAAAAAAAAACCAAAAAAAGATATTTCCATGACACATTTATGAAATCTCAAGAAAATAATTTAGTAGTCTTTCATCATTTGAGGGAGAGAAATCATGGGAATTATCAATGAAATATATGCTAGCCTCCCAATTATAGATTAAGAAATAGGGGGTTGGTTTTATCTTTTTAGAATCTTCTATTATTATTATATTTAGAGTCTTATATTATTTAGGGTAGGGTTTCAATAAGGTTGCAACTTTAAATAATCCAATTAAGACGCACCTCCAATTTTTATCATAACATATAATTTTAGTATAAAAAATTATTAGTATTATTTGAAAATTTATTTTTTATAGCTAATTATAAAACTTTAAACTCTCAAAATAGTCAAAATCAAAGAGATCTATAAACATATGAAAATCTTGAAAATGGACGGTCTAGATATTGTGTTGCAAGATACACTATTTTTAAGACTTAAAATATTTTTTTTTTTTATATTCATACATCTTGATGTCGAGATGATCAATTAGAGAGTTTTTCATTATTAAAACAATTTTTTCCAATATGTTTTTAGGTGGCAACCTTATATAAACTTTTTCCTATTATTTAACATGAAAAGTAGGTCTTATATTATTTGGTTTTTGAGTGGAAGGAGGCTTGTGTGGAAAATCTCATGGTCTAAAAAGATGCCCATCCAATGTGAATTATTGCAGCCCAATGTTAATACGGAAAATATCCCATTGTGCAGGGGCAATCCTAAAATAGATAATGTCGACTCTACACTTAGATTATCCAAAATACCCTCGTGGCAAAACCTTTTTTTGGAGAAATGACCCATATGCTCTTTAGCAGCGCAGCTATTGAAAAAGGGCAAAAGTTTATATAATGGGGAGATTTTTTTTACTGTCAATTTTTAATAGTTTGAAGTGTTTATAAATATATTCAACCTGCATTATTTTTAAGCTTTAAATTTTATAATTAGAGATAAAAATAAACTTTCGGATCATCACAAAGATTTCTAGTACTGAAACAACATATTTTGATACTCTTTCAAGGTGCGGCTTACTTTGATTGTTTAGGTCTTTAGCTTTATACAAGCTCCACCTTTGACAAAAAAGCATTAATGAAATTTGATGCAAAGAAATATATGCAATAAGACCATTTGTTACAAAGAGATCATAGCCATTATTGACTATTAGATGTGAAATCAAGCGGTTGGAACTGTGTCATTGATCATATACAATGTCCACGATAAAAAATTCTCCATTATTGTATCACATTTGAATTTGTTTGGTTTTAGATCCAATGACTAATAATGATTATGACCTCATTGTACAAAAAATGAATTGTCTTATAGTATACAATCCCAGAGTAGCTATTGAAAGATAGTGGATCTCTAAATTTAATTCTGAATATCATGTCAAAGAATTCGAGTAAAAATTGAAAAATACTAAAGTCTCTAAATTTAATTTTGAATACCAACTCAAATAAATTAAGTATAAATAAAAAAAACAACATTAGCTTGTTCTCAATTTTCTTTAGCACTTTATTAAATGCAGTTTTGGTACTAAAAACCACTATGACACTCTTGAAATTTTATTTCCATGTCTGATTATGAAATTTAAAGTAAGAAAGTTGGTGCAGATCTATCTGATGTATAAATATTTGAAAATAGATGGCCAACATAATGTTTTACTAAATGCATGATTTTAGGGCTTGAAATTTGTGTCGTTTGAAATCGATAATCGTCAAGGTTTGGGTTTTTTTTAAAACCAAAACAACATTTTTTTTTTTTTTGATATTTGAGCTAGGGTCGTAGTCCCATTCTAGCTTATCTTTTGGAACTTTTAATGGACTCTAGAAGGATCGGTGAAATTGGAGACGTCACTATTTTCTTTGGCCAGGCATTCTTACTTCAGCTATTCATGCAGTGTATCCTCTACTTCAAGCAATTGAAATAAAAGAAAGAAAATAAAGATAATATTATTGAGAAATATAAGTGTCCGTATGGGTGCGGTTTCTATAAGGTTGCAACTTTAAACAATCCAATTAAGACGCACCTCCAAATTTTAGCATAACATGTAATTTTGTTGTAAAAAATTCTTACGATTAATTTAAAATCTATTTTCATATCTAATTATAAAATTTTAAACTCTAAAAATAGTTAAAATCTAGGAGATCTATAAACATATGAAAATATTGAAAATGCATGGCCTAGATAATGTGTTGCAAGATGCACTATTTATGAGATGCAAAAACTATTTTTTTTTTATATTCATACATCTTGATGTTGAGATGATCAAATAGAGGGTTTTTCAACATTAAAACTACTTTTTCGATAGATTTTTGAGATGCCTCTGTAATTCTACATTTTAAGGTTGCAACTTTATATAAACTTTTCCTATATGTATTGACCATTTACTCATTTGGTACAATGACATCGCAATCATCTTTGTTAGATTTGAAATTGATGTAGTGCTCAAAGTTAAAAAAAAAAAATTTCAAATTTATTTACATGCTCCGAACTTCTAGATTTGACATGAGATGATTGAAAGACATATTTGTACGAAAGGCAAATGGCCAATATATAAAACCCTATAATAAAATTTGCGGGGACATACATGCTAGGAATGGTAATGGGTTGGGTTTAGGTCCAGGTCGACTATGTCTTATATGAACATGGACGCAACCTAGACATGGGTCACTTGGACTCGAGCCCAACTTGATAAGTCAGTTGAAGGGTCCAAGTCTAAAAATTTTTAAAAATAAAAAATATATTTATATACTATATAATATTTTGGGATTGTATGCTATGAGATAATTTATCTTTGGTAAGGAAATCACTATTCGTACTATATATTACATGCTAAATTATATGGCTTGGGTTATCTTTGGTAAGGAAATCACTATTCCTACTATTTATTACATGCTAAATTATATGGCTTGGGTTATGTCGTAAAGTTCAAAAAAATTAGTCTAGCCAGTGATACATTCATAACCACCCGATTTGAAAATGAAAGTGATTGTGATATTCTTGTATTAAAAGTAAATGGTCAATTTGTATACTTTTTTGTATATATTTTATATATTTTTTATTGGATCGTGCCGACCTAGACTGGACCCAACTTGACCTAATAGGGTCCAGACAGACCCTAGTTGGGTCCAAGCATTTGGACTTGGACCTGACCCATCGCATCCAAATTTTGGACATTGACATGGACCTAAACCTAGCCGTGTGGGTCGACTTGACATGATTGCCACCCCTAATACATGGCAAATGTGTAGGGGCCTTCTACTAGGAATAGACCCCATGTTAGGTGTTAAGGTACTAGAGTACCACAACATGATGTTTTGAATTATAGTTTTGTTGTGGGATGATAATTCCTACCGCTGTGGGATGATAATCCTTACCTGGGTCGACTGCCAAAAAAAAAAAAAAAAAAAAAAAAAAAAAAGAGCATCCCCCAATAAAAAAAGTGGGCATTTTAATAACTTTTCCATTTTAATTTTTATTCCCTAATAGAGAATTGTTTGGTGCATCCAAGCCCATGCCTCTTACTATGCGGGCTTGGAGATTTACACCACCCACCAAAGAAAGTATAGATCAACAAATAATAGTCCTCTAAAGAAAAAGTAAAATCATTGGTTCAAATATTTTTTCAAAAAGTATTATTTATAGTTTCTAAAATTTATTTATTTTTACGAATTAATAATCTACTTGTTAAAGATTATATATTCTCTAAAAATTAAGATTAAATTCTATTTCAAAAATAAATTATTAAGATGGCCGCATTTATACATGCGAGTCTGTGGACTCATAGAAACCGTGTCGCTCCTAATACTCGTTGTTCAAAGACAAAAAACCAGTGGGTCCAAACGAGCGCATGGAAATCACATGCCAAATATTAGAAAGATCAGAAAAATCAATGCAGAAAATATTCCATTTATTTTAGTCCGAAGGCCGCTCGGTATTTTCCTTTCCAAAACCTGGGACTTTTTCTCCATTTCTCAACCCCACCTGCATTTTGACTCGTTGATTTTGGACCTAAAGTCTCTCTTGGACCTAAATTCTGCCTCTCTACAAAACCCAAATACCGAAATCCAGTTTCATGGCGGGTTTTTGGATTTATGGGGTTTTCAGGGCTTAATCTGCTTCAGGTGTGTAGCTTTACTCAATTGGAAAGCTTCTAAAAGTTGCAGTTTTTGATGTGGTTTCTGCATCTTGATGTTGGATTTGATTTGGGTTGCTGTTGATTTTCACTCTTTCCTTTTTGGTGTTTTTGTTTTTTTCTTTCTGTATTGATGTGAGTGTTGCAGTTCTTGATCTGTTTTTTGGTTCACAATATTGGGTTTTGATTTGGGCCACTGAAAATTTGACAATTTTTCTTTTGATGGAGGTCAAAATTGCAGTTATTGATCTGTTTTTTGGATCTTGATATAGGTTTTGATTTGGGTTGCTCGAAATTTCATACTTGTGTTAGGTTCATTGAGTTGGTAATCACTTTGATGGATCTGGCTCTGGTTTTGCATCTCTCGGTCATTAGTCCTTTTGGGATTTATGTCGTGGATTTGCCTTTTGTCTAGCTGAATATGTTTTGTACTGTGCTTAATTGCTTACTTGAATAGGATGCTATGCTTTATTTGGGGTTTTCTTTAGAAACCTTAGTAGTTTAGAACATTCTAGAATGCATATTGGAATTGGTGGGAATAGGGGTGATAGTTTATGATATTTTGTAGTTTATGATATTTAGTGTTCCAGAGGACGTGTGGTAAGTAGGTGCTTTTGGTGCCATTTTTCTGAATTTTATGGGATTTTACTAGTGTTTGTATTGTGATTTTCTCTGCTCCTTGTGATTATCTTGTCTTACTGATCTATTTTATTGGCTTTAACTTTGTGTTTGTATTGCGACTTTGTTTACACACCCTTTCTTGTTTTGATAATGTTAACGTTTGTAGAAAAGAAGAGGAGGTACAAAAGGGATGTTCCAGGGGACCCACAAGCCGGGTCGCCTGGCAAATATAGGTTACCCAAAGGAGTAACCCTATACAAAAAATGGGGCTTATATCAGTTGCCCTTTACAGCAGTGTACAGTGAAGGCCAAAAAGGCTCAAAGAAGCCAGGCCATTTGCAAAAGAAACCAGAGGAGCAGTCCTTTGGTGCCAAAAAGGGGGCCGGCCCCTGTCTGCTAAAAAATCTGTCCATGAAACTCCATGATTCACGGTCTGTGCAAGAGCCCCATCCCTAGCCAGCTGGTCTGCGAGGGAGTTTGATTCCCTCCAGGTATGCATTCATAAGACGGGAAGATCCCTGCATATGTGGGAGATTTCATCAAAGATAGATGCTAGCTACCAAGGAGCAGGGGCGCGGCCAGCAGCCCAAGTTAAGATGTTCTTTGTATCTCCTTCTACCAGCAAGGGAAGGTCCCAGCCAGATTGGAGTGCTTTGAGTCCCGACAGAAGAGCCAAAGACTCATCCAACTGAGAATCAGCGTGACCGATGTGAGTTGAGAAGGTTTCTAGAATGTGTCCAAGAGGATCTCGGAACACCCCCCCAATGCCTGATGGTTCGGGATTCCCAAGGGAACACCTGTCAAAGTTAAGCTTGATGTGATTTACCGGAGGGGACAACCAATTGTTTACTCTCGCTGTCTGTGCGATTGGAATTGAATGACATTTTCGCGCCTATGAATGAAGGCTGTGGCTGAGATGCCATTGAAGGCTTTGTGGTTTGTTGCCCAGAAGATCACTAAGGAAGTGATTCTATGTAAAAGGGCAAGGACCTCACTTTTGGCATCTCTAAATATCCTGGAGTTTCTCTCAGTCCAAATTACCCATATCGTTGCTGCTATGGAGGCCCTCCATAAGAGTCTACTTGCCTTGGGCCAAGGAGGGTCCGCAACGAGGAGAAGAGACCTGGAATAGAGGCTGGAGTTTCCCAGGTCAGATCGAAGAGTCCAAGGATTTTACTCCACAAGCTATGGGCAAGAGTGCAGTGAATAAATAGGTGCGGGTTGGTCTCTTCCTCGCAACAGCACATCACACACTTGTTGGGGATTGGGATACCCCTCCGTTGTAGGTGATCTACCGTGCGGGCTCTTTCAGAACCCGCTATCCAGTTAAAAGCCTGCACCTTTGGTGGGGCAATGGAAGACCATACCTTTAAGAGGACTGTAGATGGGGATGGCGGGGTAGAGGGCGGCAGCAGAATCTTGTAAAATGAAGAAATCGAGAAGAGTCTCAAAGGTGAGGGAGGCCAGATGACTCTATCAGCGACAGAGTGGGCCAAGAAGGTGGAATGAAGTAAGGAGGCAGCGAGGTGAATTCCAGGAATTCAGGATCCAAAAGGATCGTCTGAAACGAGGGTTCCAAACGCTTGGGCCCCCCTAAAGCTGGGAGCTCTTCAACTAAGGAGGAGGATGGATTGGAGGCCAGAGACAATAACAAGGGGAACCTATCCCTCAAGGGGGTGAGACCTAGGTCATACCAAAAACTAATTCTGTGACCAACCCTCCGGTGAAACCAAATATTTTGTTGAAAAGCAGTTAGGGCCGTAGGAAGGATTTCCATGCCCCAGAAGTTTAGGTGGGTCTTTTACCCTCCAGCAGCCAAGCATTATGTGGGATACGGTATTTGGAACGTACCACATTAGACCAAAGTAGATTGTTGTGGTTTGCTAGGCGCCACCACCATTTGCTGAGTAGAGCAGTATTCTGTTTCCTCAAATATCTAATCCCTAGTCCTCCCAAATGTTTAGGTTGGCAGACGTTCTGCCATAAAACAAGGTAAAACTTAATAGAATCAGAGTCGCCCGACCAGAGGAAATTTCTCATAAGCTGTTCCCGGCGATTGGCTACAGCCGTTGGCATGTGGAAAAGAGACATGAGGTAGACCGGAGTGTTCGACAAAGTAGCCTTTATTAGTGTAGTCCTATCGGCAAAGGATAAGAATCTGCCTTTCCAACCAGCTAGATGTCGGTCTACCGTATCTATAACATGAGACCACTGTCTCTTTTTGGGTTTCCCAATGCCCAACGGCATCCCAAGGTAGGTAGTTGGTAGATCTTCAACTTTGCATGACCAAAGGGGGATGAGCTTTTTGGTCTCTAAGGGAGAAAGAGCTAGCCCAATCATTGTAGATTTCCCCATATCTACCTTGAAGCGGCATATTCGAAACACTTGAGAAAGCGGCGTAAGTACTCAATTTCAAGTGGTACAACATTGATGAACACCAACGTATCATCAATGTACTGTAGATGGGTAACAGCAGGGCCTCTTGGACTACTCTTGAAGCTTGAAAGAAGGTGGGATTGGTACATGCGTGAGATAGAACAACTGAAATCCTCGGCTGAAATTGCAAACAGGAAAAGGGACAGGGGGTCCCGTTGCTTAAGACCCCTTGAGGAACGGAAGGAACCTCTTGGTGTGCCATTAATAAGCAAGAAGAAGAAGGGATGGGCGTAACAGCCCCTCATCCATTTTCTCCATCGGGCCCCAAACCCATCCTTGCCATTGTTTCGTCCAAAAGTGACCAGTCGACGTGGTTATAGGCTTTTTCCCAATCGATCTTTAAAGATCAGTCTAGGTTTTTTGGCAAGGTGTCTGGAGTGGGTGCACTCGTGAGCGACGAGGACCCCGTCAAGGATATACCTTTCTTTAATGAAAGTGCTGTGATTCAAGGAGATCACAAAGGGTAGCACCTCTTTAATCCTAGTGGCCAGCACTTTGGACAGAATTTTATATGTTGAATTGACCAAACTAATTGGTCTGAAATCCTTGAGTTCCTCAGCCCCTTCAACCTTGGGAACCAAAGCGATGAAAGTGGCATTCATCGCTTTGTGAAGAATACCACGATCAAAAAATTCATCAAAGAAATTGATAAAGTCAGGCTCAAAAGTATCCCAAAAAATCTTGAAAGGGGCAACAGGGAAGCCGTCTGGGCCTAGGGCTTTGTCTTTGCCCAGGTCAGTTATGGCGTCAAAGATTTCTTGCTCTGTGAAGGGTGTTTCCAACCACTAGGACTAGTGATTAGGTAAAGTAAGGAATTGGAGGTCCACCATCCTAGGCCTCTGTTCAGAAGGGGCAGCATAGAGGGAGCGATAGAAGGAAAGAATAGCATCTTCAATGTCAGCAGGTGGATCGAGAGCATAATTTTCCACCTTAAGCATCGAGATGGAGTTCTCTCTACACCGGCAATTAGCTATTCTATGGAAATAACCAGTGTTGTGGTCACCATGGCGCAACCATTTGACCCTAGAACACTGAAACCAGAAGATCTCTTCTATTTTGAGGATAGAGAAGTAATCAAGTGTAAGTTAGGTCTTGAGGTTCGACTTAGCTGTGGAGAGGGGTAGGGACAATTCAGACTGGTTTAGTGCTTGAATGGTTGACAGAAGAGAGCTTTTGGTTTGACTAAAGTTCTGAGGAATAGTTCTGCTCCAGTTTTTGAGAGCCATTTTCAGAAGTTGAATTTTCCATTGGAGAATAAACCCTACCCTACCCGAGACTAAGGGTGACAAAGAATCCCACCATTGAGGGATAAAAGAGGACAAAGAAGGTTCTTCCAACCACGCCAGCTCAAAACGGAAAGGTTTAGGGGCCCCTGTGAGCCTAGTGGGTTTGGAGTAGAATAGGGCAATGGTATGAAGAAGGTTTAGGGAGAGCCATTGCATGGGATCCTGAGAAGGCATCATCCCATTGCAGAGACGTTAGGATATGGATAGGGAGGGTTGGGAAGAATGATCACACCACGTGAACAGGTTGCCCTGTAGGGGGATGTCTAGTAGTTCATTTCGTGAGATGAAGTCTAAGAAATCAAGCATTCCTTGTGAGATATTAGAGCTGCTGTTGCGCTCGAACGACCACCTTGTGATGTTGAAATCTCCTCCAAGGCACCATGCCGGGTGGGGAAGATTGGCAACGAGATCCAGTTCTTCCTAAAACTCAAGTCCGAGGGACACTGTATTTGGCCCATAAACTGTTGTGAATTTCCAAGGAAAACCATCTGAGATCCTTGTGAGGATTGCAATCACTGAAAAATTCCTAAGGTGGGAAGAGCTTAGGGCGTGTTCAGTAGGGTTCCAAATGACTTGTATGCCTCTAGAGGCTCCGGCCGCAGCAATAGAAATCCACTGGCACGGGTGATGAGTTGCATGGTAGGGGTCGGTTGTTTAGTTCTTGTGCGAGCTAAGATGGAAGGGTTGTGTTTGGCACACAGATCCCTCGCTGCAGAGCGCTTGAGGTCTTGTCCTAAGCCCTGAACATTCCATGAAACAGCTTCATGAGGAACAATGGCAGTATGACGAAGAGTTAAGCCTAGGAGACCTACTAGGGAGGGGCTCCTGATCGGAGGGTGGAGCGAGGACCACCGCAGTTGGCACCGAGTGTGGTTGTTTGTCGTAATTGATGTTGGAGTAAAGGTTTAAGATCCCCCTATGGCCTTTGATCCTTACCTTGAGATTACTCTCAACCTCATCCTTGAAAAAAACGGTGGAAAGGCCCCTTAGGACCATGATATGGGAAGCCCATAACCCTTAGGATCTCCTTGAAGTCTCCTTGTCCCCGGTCAATAGCATTGACATAGTCTGAATCCACTGAAGGGGGCGATTGCGAGTTCGGTGACCAAGGGAAGGGGGAAGAGGCAGGAGAAGGCTGAGCGCAAAGGTCAGCAATAGGGGAGCGGGGTGTCTCAAAAGGGTTGCAGGGGTAGAGGTCAGTAGGTAGGTGGGGTAGGGTTCCACAGGGGGAGAGCCTGTCTGAGATGCAGGGGGGTGGAGGTGTTTTAGGTGCCGGGAGCCGTAAGAGAGGAGGGAGAGCGCAGAGAGGGGTATGCTGTGAGATCATGGAGATGGGGCTAAGACAACTCCAAAGGGAAGTGGTAGGCCGTCGCATGTTGTGAGGGATCGGAAGCTGCATGGGTTGAAGCAGGGTAGGGGATAGCTTGGACAGGTGGGACAAGGGGGTAAGGGTAGGTGGTGGAGGGCTGGAGGGGGGGGGGGGGGTGTGGAGCACCGACTCAGGCAGAAGCAGAGGTCCGCAAGAGTCTGGGTACGAAAAGGTATGGGAAGCCATCTCTATCTTAGCTTGGTCCAAGAGCATCAAGTTTGGAGAAAAGTGGTGGTAGGGGAAGGGGCTAAGGCCTCAAGATTGGGTGGGGTCGGGTCGAGAGTCTGGGCCACCAAAATCCCAGCAGAGAGGGGAGGCCACTCCAAAGGCGCTGACGAAAGGGGTGGCACCGAAAGAGATAGAGGAGAGAGAGGGTTAAGGTTGGACAAACCAAACACGGATGTGCTGGGGGGATAAGAAGGGTCAGGGGTCAAAGTGGCAGTGATACCACTCCGGGATGGGACCCAGGAAGGGGGGGGGGGGGGCTGGGCAAGAGAGACGAGTCAGGGGGCCCCGTCGAGAACTGTAGAAGGAAAGGGGGACCAGAGAGGGGTGGGGAGATAGGGTCAGGTGGAGGGGGTGAGGGTTGGGGTGGAGAAGAGGGGGGAGGTGGTGGAGAGAGAGGATCTTCGTCGAAGGGTGAGAGAGTGAGGATAGAGAGAAGGCTAGTTGGAAGAGAGGGTGAGATGCAGACTAGAGATGGTGAGAGGGCGAAGATGGGGGTGGGTGGAGATGATGGTAGCTGAGAGTGGACGAGGGGCTCGAGGATGGGGTTAGGTGGCTCAGGGGGTACGGTTATGATACGGGGACGCATGTCTCCAAAAGGATTCAAAGAAGGGTTGACATGGGTTGGGATGTTGGATGAAAAAGAGGAGAGAGAGAGAGAGAGAGAGAGAGAGAGAGAGAGAACGAGGAC